GCTATTCGAGAAAGCGAAGTCAAATCACAAGATCGCGCTTCTTCGTTCCAACCCGTTTTTTTTTTTTCCCTCGATGAACGCACCGCCATGTGTGTGTGTGTGTGTGTGTGTGTGTGTGTGTGTGTGTCGGAGTGAACATTGGATGAACAAAGCAAAGATCGCGAACAAAGATCGCAAAAGTTGGTGTTTTATTTCTCACGCCTCGTTTGTTGCTCATAGGATGGAGTTCATGTCACAAATGTTTCGCCCTCCTGTGGAGCGCATTGACGTTATCTCGTCTGCGTTCGGCAAAATTGAGGATGTGTCACCATATGACATGATCCAAGCACTTGCCGTTCTGTCCAACACCATTACAAATTCATCAACGAAGATCACAGCGTATCTCCGCAAGTTTATCTCTCTGTACCGGGAGAAGATTTCGACCGCGAGGCCGGAATTTGCCGAGATGTATGCAGCGGTTGAGGCTGACGAGGAAGCCAGCGAACTTTGGGGCTCTTTCCAGTTGGCGATCAACTACCAGCAGATTGCTGATGCACTCCGGAAGCTGACTGGACTGCCGGTATGTTGTTTTCTCCTTCTTTCGTGACTTTTTATGTCTTTTTTTTTCTTGTCTTTTCTTTGACTGACCGCTCGCTTGTCATTAGAACTCGGAGCCCCAAGAGTGGCGTGAATTGCGAAAGGCGATTCTTGCCGCCGCGTCCTCGCCCAATGCTCCCTCTCCGCCGCCAGCCGAAACGGGCGCTCGCGTCAAGGCTCCTCTTCGCACCAAAATGCTTCGGCATGTTGAAGCCGTTCTCAAGGAGATCATCATTGAGCTGAACGACTTTGACGGCTGGTCAAAAGAAGCTGCTCGCCTTGAGCGGTTTGTGATCGCTCAAAAAGCAATGCGCACAGCGATCTCCGTGATGAACTTCATGGCTGAGACCAACCACGATATCAGGCCGCTCCTAGCCGGCGTGTATGGTGTGCAAGACACTGCTGGTAGTCTCGCCCAGCTCGAGTCGGCTGTGCCCGCGATTGTTGATGCTGCAGAGTGATTGATTGTTTAATGTCGGTCGGCAGAGGATTTGCAACATCCTAAAGCAGTGCTTCAAGCAAATACAGCTATCTTTGTTTTGTTCCAAAAAAAAGGGGGGGGGGGAAGAAAAGTGATGTCGATTTGAAAAGTACGGAAAGTCCATCAAACAAACAGAAACGCAATTGACAACGCGACTACTGCTGCTTTCTGAGCGACCGCCGTCCAAAAGTGCCAAACTTCCCTTTTTCTTTTTTTTGGGCCACCTCCTCGGTTGACTCACGAATATCCGCCCCAACCACAGCTGGCTCTACTTCCCTAACTGACTGGTGTTTGTGTGCAGCATTCAGATAGCCAATAATCGTACCACCTAGCCCGAGCACACATTGCTCACTCTCTTCATCGGAAAAGCGCACGTTGTTGCTGCACATCCATTCCTTCAGCATCTCTCTGCAA